TAAGGGCGTCCTGAGACTGTCATAAAGATAGCAGAAGACACAATACACGGACAAGCTACTGGCTTGGCCAAAGGCGATTCCATTTAACGAGGGTAGAGGAGCGGAGGCCCACAGTGACCCATTCCCCTTTTCAACACTGGACTCAGTGCTCCATTTGGTCGTTCGCCCAAGTCGGCCACCGCAACATGATCAGTGCGTTAAAAAAGACGGGTACGATCACCAATAAATTTCTACCCGACTGAGGAGGTGCTCGACTTCCACAAGATTTTGGGTTTTGCCATGTGGAGAGACTTTGTTCGAGTCGAAGGGGATATTACAAGGTTATGTTACCAATTTCCTTGTGAATATGCAGTTGACAACTGCATAAGTGAATTTCTCAAATAGCTGGCAGTGGAGTGGACGCCCCAGTTTATTTGGTTTCCACCCAATTCTCATTTTAGAGGGTTAGGCATTAGCGATAAATGAAAGTTCCTTTCCACTACCATCAATAAAGAATTTGAAGACTTCCTCAAGGATGGAAAATCTATGATATTCGACTAGAATTTCCACATCCGACACAATGGCCCAAAGCCTAGGCTGTTTGGAAGAAGTACAATGGCGGAGGTTTAAGCGGTCCTTTGCTACAGCTGGCCTTGGAAGAACAGGCAGTCCATTGTACCATGTACTTTGGAAATTACGCAATCAAGGATGTGCGTATCCACGCGCTCAAAATGCTTGCAAAGTGTCGAAATGTGTCTCGCCTACTTGCGCTTAAGGCAAGTGCATTTTGCGAAACGATAGTGTTTAAATGCAAGGTCACGCACCCTATTTTCGGCATCATTTGAGGCCATTTTATAGTCCAAGTCTTTTCATGCAACGTTTTTGCCCAATAAGCGGAATTTGGCTACCCTAAATTGAAGACGCCATCAAACGCTATTTCCACATGTTGAACTATTCCTTCCAAATCTTGTGAAGAGTTTAAGTCGATTTTGAAGCAGAATTGTGCGTTGTCGTGACTGTTAACTGACAGGAACACATTGACGAAGGAGGCGTGAAAAAGTCACCCATTTAAATTGCTAAAAGAATAGTTTTCTCGCCGAACCAAAATTACTTTCTTCATTCTTGCCTATCAGTGGAAGTTTTATCCAGTCTTAATGTTTAATTTAACAAATGGAAGGTTTTGCTCACTCGCGTTAGAGACTTTGTAAAGGCTCACCAACATGACCTCTCAGTGGAGGCCTAAGAAGATCAGCTGTCGAAACTGTCGGTCATGCAGAGAATTTGGTGCTTTGAGAACGAGGTCAAATGCGTTCTTGACCTCTGTCACTAATGCCCTATGGATGGAATCACAAGCTAAGCATGAAAAAGTGGCGATTTTTCTGCACCTTTTACTCTTCTCCGTTCTGATTTTCTTCAAACAGAGACAGAAATTTGAAAATATCTTTTTGAGAATAGTTTTTTTGGTGCTCACTTGTACCTCGCATCTACGTGTAATGAGTGAATGAGAGCTTGTGTGCATGTAAATTAATAATGGTTGGTCAGAAACCGATGTTGCAATTATTTAGTTTTATAGTCCTGCGTGCAACTCTTTATCAGACCTCATCAACTATTCCAGCTGTACTTTGCACCATAAAATATGAATGCGTTTGATTTCGGAACATCCGACCCAACGAAACACTTTGACAATTTTGAATGTGTTTATTTTGCAAAAGAGAAAGACCGAGTTAAATGCGTTGGCACTTCAAAGCTAGTGAATAAAATTGGATCAAATTAAATGCTGCGCTTGGATACTACCACGGCTAACAAACCAGGAACAAACTTTGGGAAAGAGATAAGAGTTTAAGTTGCAAGGTTAAGCAATTTTCGGTGTCTTAGGGTTCGTTTCCATGCTGATTAGGAATGAACTTCTTCCAGAAAATAAAAGACAATAAAGTGATGGGAATTAGGCAGATGCGAGGAATGCAAGGTCCGGGAAGAAAGGCTAGACCCGAAGATGACAGCTTAGATAGTCAGGTGGAAAATATGCAAGAAATATTTTTGCAGGTCTGTTTGAGTCGACGGTTTTACGCAAGTTATCAGAAACTAGCTTCGTGATTGGGTTGGCGCATTTTTTTAAATAAAACGTAAAAGCTAAAGCATCTTGAGATTAGAGAGAAGGAAGAGCGTCTGGACTGAGTACACATATTCGGGCGAAAGGGCAATAAATGCGAACTTCTGGCGTGGCTCAGAGCCCAGCTTGCCCGGCCATGGCAATATGACTGTATAAGAGACTGACGGTCAAGTACGGCATTACACAGGTAAGGTAATTCTCTTTAAGGCGAATTAAGTTTCTTGTGCTACACCAGGCCTCCATTTGGACGCTTGGTTAACTAAGCCAGGCCGAGCGATTCGTATGTTTCCTCGGCCCAAACTCACAACGCTTGTTCAAAAACGTTTTGTCAGACAAATTACGAAACAGATTGTACGTATTTCGTTGTTTATTCTTCGTACTTGAACTGCCGACGCCGTTCGGTGTTTGGTCGGAGAGCAACCAATCGTTAAGCGCGTTTTAGATTCAGGAAGATGGCTGAATTGATGTTATCAGTTTTAAATAAAATTAATTAAATTGTTAACTTTTTTGCTTTGCGGGAAAGTTAAATTGCAACACTGCAAAGGCAGGGTTTTTCTTCCTTTTAGCTTACTAGATTGTGTATAATGTGTAAGGGTATTTTGGGACGCTTTATTTGACATGGAGAAGAAAATGATGCTTAAAGAGTAGTACGCATAGGAGACGGATCCATCCTGCTCCTTTTAGATAAGATTTGAGTCAATTCCTTATCTCCCATCTTAAAGAACCATTTAAACAATGATTGCTCATTAGTCGAAATGTGGCCATCAGTGCGAGATCTCATCCAACTATTCGCTTCCTCCACAAACAACTTCGAACTATCTCCTCAGCATTGCAAGACTCCATAGCACAAGAAAACGAATTTTACAACAATTCGGTTTTGGGAATCAAGATTTGCCATTAAATCGCGACTTGTCAGATTTGAATTTACTTGAAAACTAACTCAGGTTGTTGTTGAACACCACACCAAATCAAATCGGCGCTTAGCACTCTCATTGATCCTGAGTGTTGAGGTCATCCTGCGTGAGGACTAGCTAGGATTAATTCCTTCGATAAATGTTGGCGAGCATATGGGGAGACCAAGTTGACAAACCTTAACCATTTAGTTAGCTAAAAACAAACAACTGGAGACGTACCAATGACATTGATAATTAAGTAGGTCAAATGATATCCATGGATCTCGTTATTCTAGCATTTCGACTTGTGAGAACCATGATTTGCATTCCAAATTGGTGGTCCACCGCCAATGAAGGCTGTAGATTATAACGATTGAGCGCGTGGAACTGACCAGATGATGATAGAAATTTATGATTCTCCTTCCCAGTTTGTTGGTTTAGCCCTGGTTGTGGCCGGCGCCTGGGCCGTTTTCAACATTCCATCCTTCATGCAAGCCCTCGCTTTCGCATTTGACACCGACGTCAGTGGCACCGAGCTCTACCAGAACGCCAAACTGACTCAGGCCGTCGCCTATGTGTGTGTCGGCCTAGGCCTCTTCATCTTCCTCGTCGCCTTCTTCGGCTGCTGCGGTGTTGTTACTGACAGCTGCTGTCTTCTCATCACTGTAAGCGTTTTCCACTTTTATTTGCCATTGAATGACTAAGCGTCAGACTAGTGGCTAACATGCGTCTTCTAATACTAAAGTCACCTGATTCACCAAGTCCAAGTGAAAGTCTGAATCCCATCTTCTCAAATGTTAATTATCGAAAACAAGCTTGCGAAGTCATAAATGCCCGACATTATTTTTAGTGCTAGCAGAAGGAGAAACAACGAATAGCACTTGATTAATAGCGTCTCCTTGTCTCAAATAAATCGTTAACTTGAAACACGTCTCAACATCATAAGGAATAGTCATGCGCTACTATGAAACAGGCTAGACAAATAAGTGCCTGAAGCCTTGCTGTTGTAGCTGGGGCTTTAAGTTCATGATACTTAGTGAATGGCTTCACGTTTTAGTACGCTGTGGTTGTCAGTCTACTCTTCCTTGCAAAGGTCATCTGTGTTCTCGTTTTCCTACTCCTCGGTGAGAAGGTAGGTATAAATTACTTTTATTTGAAGATCGTTACTATAATTGTGAAAGATTCATATCAACTCTAGCACATCTTGAAACACGATAGGACGGGAGGCAACTTCGAGACCTTCTTACGCATTGCTTTTATGGCATTTTCACTTTACAAACCCTGATAACTCACAGATCATTTGTGCTATTTTTGGAAAAGGAGTAGCATTAGCTTTTATGCTTTCTTGGCATCCAACCATATCTTAAAAGGCGTTCCTATGAGTACTCATTGTCAAGAAGCCAAGATGAGTCTTGCCCTACACGATCTAGACAGTTAATATTACAGATATCGCCAATCGTTATTGACGAAATCCGAGGCACTTTTTCACAAAACTATATGGGCTACTTGGGTCTGCCACACCAAGACAATTCTGCGTCATACTCACAGGTGGTGGATGCCATTATGTTAAATGTAAGTTAACTTCATCAACAGGTTTTGTCAGATAATACGAGGTCCAAAAATATAACACTTCAGCACTGTTTTAGTTCCAGTGCTGCGGAGTGCACGGCCTGCAAGACTTTGAGCATGAGGAGACCTCCATGCTGTGGCATGAAGTGGGTCGACTCTACGTCAATACAGAGAATAAGGAGGTTACCGGGGATGCCGTCGGCTTGCCGGTCGCCTGCTGTCAATTCCGCAACATTGATTTCCCCATGAATTGTATGTTTAGCAGCAAATGTCTGAAAGGATTGCATTCTCTCTTAACATGCTTTGCTACACTTCAGCTACGTTTCACCAATTGCATCGGAGCATGAAGAGTACGCAATGTCCAATTAAGCCAGTGTCTGCCTACAATACAATGGGTTGTGTCGAAAAAATATCATCCATCCTGAAACAGTACACGGTGGCGATTGCAGTAACACCGGTAATAATAGCAGTTATCGAAGTGATAGGCATCATTCTGGCCAGTGCATTGGCCCACGAAGTGAAGCAGGACGTGGGACGATTATACTACCAGTAGAAGCGCCTACTCCATTTAAAAAAAGAAATACTGGCAAAGAGAAAGAGAAAAAGGCCTCACGCAAAGCCACGAACACAAGACGCTTCCATCTTTACCTGCGCTCATTTATGAATTTCTTATGAACCACTCCCCTCAATGATAATCGGCGTTCAGTATTACAGCCTGTAAAGATTCTAACGGACCAGATGTTACTTAAAGTCGTCCCAATTTTTCAGTTTAAATAACCTGTATTTCCATCTAGTTTGTCCAATTTTTCTAAAAAGAGCCTGACAATCACATTGAAAGAACATGCTACTATGAAAAACAAGTACATCCCGCATTTGATTTTATAAAAGTATTTTTCAAAAATGTATGAACTTGAGTTTTCGAGGGCAGCGAATACCTCAAGGAGGTATCCATTCGTTGCATGACTAAGCTAAACAGGTCGCGGGCACCCAAACGCTGGACAAAAGAAGAAACATTAAGGAATGACTATGAGCAAGATTGTGGTTCACCTAATGAGATACTACTACTGCAAAAAATTGCAGCCACTAATTGTTTAACAATCTATTAGGAACCCATTTACTAAAAAGTCTTGCGATTGTAAACGCCCTAAAATAGGTTATTTGTAAGGGAAAAAATGATATGCATTGAGTACAAACGAAAAACGGAGTAGAGTTAGAGAATATCGTCAGGAGGGCTAATGGCATTCTCCAGCAAATCTTGAAGGATCCTTCTTTGAGACAAATTGATTTTTGGTTGCATGAAACTGGCACTTGTGTCCAGTGCAGAAATGTCTTCTGACACATATGCAAGCTAAAGCAGTATAAGCGACTATGAAAACTTACAATTAAGGATTTTAGGTATAAAAACAAGTCACTATCGAGGTAAGAAGTAAAAGTGCCTTCCTTTGTTTCACCGGTATCATCTAAGTAAGCGGCGAGGGATGAAGGCCCCTCTTTGGAAATAGCCTTAGATTTCGGGGGCTACCTAATAGGTATGAAAAAGAACAGATATACTAAAGTAGATAGAACAAGAAGGACCCGATAGACTTCGGCTTCTCTCAGATGATCAAAAAAGAAATCAATTTCATATCCATGCGTTTCTAAAGTCGGTAAGACAGTATGAAGACAAGCCCACCACAGGCATCCAGGGAAAGAGCCTGAATCTTGAGAATAGTATTCAGAGCAGAAGAATAATCTCCTAAGGTAAAAGTAAATCTGTTAAAAATATTAAGCTTTTACGAGTATGAATGTAAATTTGCAGACATTTCTTAAGGATGTGGATGGAACGAGGAGCATCACGACAAAAAATATCGGCAGCACGACTATAAGTTGTTATCGCTTCGGAGAGTCGTTTGAACTTCTATAAAGAAATGGGCGTTATGTATAACATATGTAAACCCATAAAATGTCCCCACAAAATATGTAACAGTTGGCAGCATGGGTGAGCGAGACACAGGACTCATAGATCTAAAAAAAGCTTCAGAGCAGGAAGCTTACCTTTGCAGCTTTGAGAAAGCAAGAAACTGCGTGTTCCATTAATTCACCCGATGATAAAGTGGAAGAGGTTTGAAGATTTTCCTCAGCTCTGACAAAGAGACGACCTGCCTCCATCAATGCAGCTGCTTCAGCATGACCATCTGAATTCAAAGCCTCGCACTCCGCTCTGGCTAGAGCAAACACAGCTGCGTATTCATAGGTATCTTCAGCAGCTAGCAACCTTGCTATAGACGCTGTTTTTGATAGTGTTTAGAACAATTGGTAACATGCCAAAATCATTCTTCGCTTCATCGACGTCCGTCTTTTTGAGTATTTTTCTATATGTAAGTTTGAAACGCGGTCATACTTCTGTAATTTTCCTGCTATCTCCCTGTACAAATTACCGTATTCAACATTCGGATTCATTATTGCAGTAACGACCTTGAAAGTCACGATGTATGGCTTAAAGGTCAAGAGTATTAACGAGCTTCGACGTAGCAAATGCAAAAAATTATTGTCATGTCAAGTAAAACGCCAGAATTTGAAAAGTTTCTAGACGTTTGCAAGTTCAAGAAATTAGTAACTTTAAAATTACTGTGTTGTTTGTAATTTAACAAATAAATAATTATTGCATTAGGGTTAGCCACCGGGACTGACAAACCAAACACAGCATCGTATAAAATTCAACACAGGATTGTTGCAAACAGTATAGTTTATACCGATGCAAGTTGGTAAGGAACATTACCGCAGAACTCTAATTCCTACCTAAAACTAATAATACATTGCTTAGACGTTTTAGCATTATTCATTGTATATACTGTAACAGTTCCTGCGACTGCCTGACGTCTGGCGGTTACTTTAAGATCTGTCAGGACCTTGTATGCTTTGGCTGGCCCTTATGTTAGTCTCAGACCTAGTTCCTCTGTCCACTCTGAAATACATGCAGCCAATATAGTTATGTTGACCTTGTGTTGCCGGAGGTTTTATTGGTCCTTATGTGTTTCAACATTCAGTTCATATCAGTAGCCACGGCCCATCTGTATTTTAGCACTGTACTCCAAATGAGGATACCCCATGGGGTCTACTGCATTCGCTGCCATTGGCTCAGAGCCCATCTTCTTGGAGTCTTCCGCCAGAAGATGGGCGGAGGTGAGGGTACAGTTAAAGGGGGCCTAACAGGTCTTCCGTACTGTCTTCTTTGGCCCTAGCTGTAGAGACTGCCTTTCTACCCTCATGCCTTCAAACCTCGAACCTCAGGCGGGGGTTAGTCGCGGAAGCTGTATTTGGCATCGTTCACTAGCATTTGAGTTACCTTAGCTGTTTGCTTGTTTCGAGTTTATAAGGCATTTGGTCGGGATTATAATTACAAATACAGGTGCAAAAGGAACGGAAACAAAACAGGTGGAAGGTTCAGCGTTCGGATATTTATCCTGCCCCTGACTTGCAAGGCACATTTAAACAACTCATATGCATTATAGTGAGGTTACAATCAGTTTTAAAATCATATTTACATTGCTTTGTTCCTATGACCACCTGGTACTCTGGCGGTGACTTTGGTATTCTACTTGCCCTTGTACGTGTGGGCTGGTCTTTGGGCCGAGCCATCGCTAATCCCTTACTCAAATGCCTTCTTCTACCTAATGAGAGGTTTTGGGGCGTTACAATACTGATCCTGCCGGGTAAGCTGGCCTTCGAGTATTTCGAAGTCTCATCTTCTTCACTGCCCCCCGATAATACACTTTTCAAGTATAATGCCTTCCGATATTCAATGAGAAATCTTAGAATGCTACAATGGTGTCAACGGAAAGGTAATTCGATTTTGGAACCACTTCAATCATGTTTCCCACAATTTGTGACAACTTTTTCGGAGCAGATGGAGAGCTTATGGTTTGGAAGAGGACCATAAATTCTTTCATGTAAAAAAGGTCATAAAATGATATCCACTTTCGGTATATGCTCAATTTCATATAATACTATCTAAATATGTATTTACTGCAAACCATCTAAGGAACCTATGTATAATATTCTCCTTAGTATAATCGCCTGAGAATGTCAACAGTCTAAAATTGCGCTGAATTTTTTTAATACGCATGTTTTAGATTAAGGATTACGTCTAGCCATAAAAGTAAAAGGTGATTAAAAGACCACCCAGTCTACGAAACCCTATTACAGGCTGAAAACTAGTTAGAACTTCTGCGAAGAGTTTGGGACATTGAGATCGAGTAGATTTTTTCAGTGAAACATGAGGAAAAGACTGACGTGGACGTTTTCCTTTAGTTAGAAAAGTCAAAGGTAAAATAGTACGTCTGGTAGATCGATGGAAGTACCAAAGTCGTGCAAGGGAATAGTTTGGCTTCAGCTCTGCACGAAAGCCAGTTTAGGCAACCAAGAGCAAGATGAAAACCAAAGTGACCACCAGTCGTCCAGGTAATCTCATAAGCAAAGTATCATTTGTGCAGTATGTCAAGCATTATACCTTCTATATCTCATGAGGATCCTTGGGACGATGTAGCTCTGATCTAGTTCGGATAAAAGGTTTTCATTACTGCCATCTAGTATTTTGATATCGAAATTTCTCAAAACTAATTCTTCATAGTCTTTGAGTGTGAAATGGGAAAGATGCAGTATACGGCGTAATGCTTTGTTCATGTGACTACCTGACGTTTGGAGGTCA